GTTAAGCAGCTGTGGTCAAGCCAGCAAGAAAAACCCAGTGTGTTATAAGCTAAACAACTCGGGCCCCAACCTCAAACCAGAGTCCAGGATCAGGCTGATTTGAAAGTACCAGAACCAGAACCTTGCCCTCACCCTACCGCCATCTTGCTGGGATTACCCAGCAAGGGTAATAGCTGGTCTCTGCCTGCCTCCTTTTGCTACCAGTGAGAGCAGAGTCATACCCTGAATTGGGCACTACTGCAAAACATTAGGTCCCAGAATATAATCACAGCCTTGAAACTACAGAGAAATTTCTTTTTGCTTTGCTTTTGAGATTTTTTTGAGGGTGGAGGTTATTTTGTTTTTCTTTGTTTTCATGAGTATGAACATTGGATTTTAGGCTTTACTTTATTCTTTTTGCATTTTCCTTCTTTCTTTCCTTTCTGTCTTCTTCACCAGTTTCCCACAGTCTGGGTAATTTTTTTTTTGAGAGGGTCTCATTATGTAGTTCAGGCTGTCCTCAAACTCACTATGTAGTGAGTCTTATGAGGAAAATTTGTAACAGTAAATTCCCACATCAGAAAAATACAGTGAGTTCAAATAAATAACTAAATGTCGAATCACAAGGGTCTAGAAAAAGAAGAGCAAGTTTAACCCAAAGTGCACAGAAAGCAGGAAATTTAAAAGATTAGAGCAGAAATTAATGCAATTGAGACTAAGAAAACAATACAAAGAATCAATGAATCAAAGAGTTCGTTCTTCAAAAGATTAAATAGACAAACTCTTACCCAATCTTATGAAAGAAAGAAAGAGAGATACAAATCCATACAATTAGGAATGAAAAGGGCAAAATCACAATGGATCCTGCCAAAATCTATAAGATCATCAATACCTACTTTGAGAATCTGTACTCTAATAAGATAGAAAACTCAAAAGAAAGGTACAGACTCCTAGATACATATGAATTTTCATAGCTGAATCAAGAAGATCTAAAAATTCTAAATAACTCAGTGTCAATCAATGAAATTGCAGAAGTAATAAATAAAACTACCAACAAAGAAAAGCCCAGGGCCTGATGGATTCACTGCTAGATTTCACAAGAAATTTAGAGAAGTTCTAACACCACTACTTCTCAGACTCTTTAATGAAATTGAAAGGGAAGCAATACTCTCAAACTCATTCCTGCAGGCAAGTATTACTCTGATACCAAAAACAGAGAAGGACCCACCAAGAAAGAGAACTACAGGCCAATCTCTTTAATGAACATAGATCCAAAAATCTTCAATAAGATACTTGGCAAACAGAATGCAGCAAATCATCAAAAAGACTATTCACCAGGACCAAGTAGGATTCATCTCAAGGATGCAAGCAGATACAAATCAATAAATGCAATACACCATGTTAACAGAACCAAGGACAAAACCACATGATCATCTCAGTAGACACAGAAAAAGCATTTGACAAAGTCCAACACCCATTCATGATTTTAAAACTTACAAGTAATTGGAATAGAAGGTCCTTAACTTAATCTGATAAAGCCATCTGTGACAAACCAGCAGCCATCATACTAAACGGACAAAACTGGAAGCTATCACTCTAAAATCAAGAACAAGACAAGGATGACCACTGTTACCACTGTCATTAAATATAGTTCTGGAAACATTAGCCAGAACAATTAGACAACAGAAATAAAAGGAACATGGATAAGAAAGGAAGAAGTTAAATGATCATTATTTGTGTGTGAGATTACGTTCTACATAGAAGACCCCAAAAACTCCACCAAAAGACTTCTAGAATTAGTAACAAAATTTGGTAGTATAGCAGGCTACAAAGCCAACACTCAAAAGCATTCTTCTATAAAAATGACAAATTCACCAAGCAAGAAATTAGGAAAACAAGACTTTTCCTAATAGCATCAAGAAAAAGAAAGAGGAATCAATCCAACAAAGGAAGTGAAAGACATTGAAAACAGCAGTATTTTGGAAAAAGGAGATTAAAGAGGATACCAGAAAATGGAAAGATATCTCCTATTCTTGGATAGTCAGAACAAATACAGTGAAAATAGCCACACCTCCAAAAGTGATATACAGATTTAATGAAATCCCAATGAAAATAGCAATAGCATACCTCACAGAACTAGAGATTTCCTAAAATTCATAGGGAATCAGAAGAGACCTAGAACAGCAAAAACAGTTCTGGGCAACAAAGACAAGGTAGGGAGCATCACAATCCCCAGTTTGAAGTATACTATAAAGCTATCTTGACAAAAACAGCATGGTATAGGAGAAAAGAAAAACAGATCCCAGGATCAATGGAACAGAATAGAAGATGCAGACACAACCCTAAGCACGCTCAACCACCTTATCTTTCACAAAGGGGCTAAATGCCTTCACTGGAAGAAAGACAGCCTCTTTAATAAATGGTGCTGCAGAAACTGGCTTTCCACATGCCAAAAATTGGACCTACACCCATATCTCTAACTATTCACTAAACCAAACTAGAAATAGATCAAAGATCTAAATATTAAAACAGAAAAAACCTAGCAGAAGACAGAATAGGTAACACTCTTGAAGGCACAGTTGTAGTCAAAACTTTTATGAACAAAACCCCAATCACACAGGAAATGGACAATCAACTGGATTCACATCAAATGGAAACTATGCTCTTTTAAGCTTTCTGTCCATGAGGTAAGCAGCTGTGCTCTACCTCACAGTCCTTGCCATGATGTGCTGCTCTGCTACAGGCCAAAAAGCAACATATTCAAATCTTTTAAATAATGAGGCAAAATAAAATTCCTCACTTTTTAAGTCCATTATTGTTTAAGGTATTTGTCATACTTATGCCAAGCTAACACACCAAGTTGTAAGTGGCCATGCTGCTCAAGCTTTCCTATCAGACAGGTCCAGACTCACCTACTGACCAGCTCAGTGACAGTGACCAAGGACCTAAGTGCTCACCTCACTCACGTCTCACGCAGTGACAGGGCACTCTTGGAGAATGCGTATGACAGCAGATATAAAGGAGCTTGCAGTGGCAAGCAGAGAAGCTCGGCGAATGTTTGATGCCATGGTTCTGATAACAACTGGTCGCAGAATGCCACAATGGGTAGAATGGTGGAGAAGTAAGCTGGGAAGTTATCTGTGAGACTCATCAAGCTGAGGATTTCAGCTTTGATCCTGCAGAAAATGAGGATGACAGAAGGATGGAAGGGACAGCCTGGTCAACTGTGCATTTTTAAAAGAAATATGAGCTCTCTCTCCTCATGCAAACCAGGGAGGAGGAGCATCTCCACCAGACATCAAACCTGTCAACAAATTGATCTTGAACTTCCCAGCCTCCAGAAATGTCCTTTGTTTAACCACTCCGGCTATGATATTTGGATACAGCAGCAGAGCTAAGACACTGGCCATCAGGAGATGGCAGGTTGCATAGCAGCTGATTCAACACCTACGATCTACCAGTCCTCATGTGGTCCCCAGCAGAAAAGACAGGCTGCCTGCAAGAGAAAGCCACATATGTGGTTCAAATCCAGTCACCACCTAGAAGGGACCTCCCACCCACAGCTACACCCTGGTAGCTCTATGACTCTAGATTATGCTGGTGTTAGTCCAGTTCCTGGTGTTAATAACGAACTTCCATTTAGGTGGCCCAAACAGTCACTCTGTTGCTATCTTGTGGCTAAACCGTAACTCACTGGACCATGTCCCCTACTCTCAGGTGTTTACACTGTTTCCACCAGTAAATTTAACATTTTAATGAACACTTTGTGCTTCAAATGTTTGCTGCTATCATTTCCAGTTCTAAAAGATCTAGTATTCTGTGATAGGACCTAGTAATACCCATTTTCTTGGGTTCAAGAAAGCAAGTCTCAAGCGTTATCTCTTCTCACTGGTGCAATTAGAGTTCATTTGATAAAATTCACCTGTTGACAGAAAAAACCTCTCAGCAAAGAATAAAAGGTAACTTCCTTAACCTGATAAAAGGTGTATACCAGAAACCTCAGCAAGTATCTTAGGTCACTTAAAAGTCAGGCATGAGATGTGTTATCCCTGATTCTATCAGTGCTTCCACATTGAAGGACCCAGAAAGAGAAAAATAAAATGCTGTCTCTTCCAGATGTAGAGAAACAGACGTTCAGATTCTCTACTTATAGAAGACCAGCCCTTAAGTATGGTAATTTGGACAATATGTGTGTTCCTTAAAATGAACACATTTTTGACCCAGCTGCTGCCCTTCTATGAACATATCCTACGAAAACAATTAAGTCTCTGCACAAAGACATAATCGTTAGGGTGCATTCTCCTCTACTGCCAACAATCAAGAGGCCAGTTTGACAAGGTACAGGTTATGTGAACTCTGGCAAGAACACCGGGTGGAATAACAGTCTCCAAAAATGGTGCTGTAGAAGAGCATTTACTAGCAAGACAGCCTAAATTAGTTTGCCATACTGCTTTGTAGGTAGCAGTGTATACACACACGCATGCACGAACACACACATGAACAAACAAAAGAACATAGAAAAGACCTGTGCCAGAAAACTGATGAGCTCTTGTGTTCTTCTTCTTAATATTCTAACCATGTTACTTTTATAACCAGGAAAAATGTTTTAAATGTTATCTTAATTGATTTCTGTAGGCAGCATAGGAAGTAGCTCAGAAACTATATACACGTTTTAGGAGGGGAGATGGTAGCAACTGTATGCTTGGTCATAACTATTCATGAAGCTAAATTTCATTCTTGTTCTATCAAACCAAAGGAAGTTTAGGTCTAAAAGTTAGTTTATATATATATATACATGTTCTGCTTACATTCAGGAACCAGCTATTCTGCCCACTCTGGGCAGGCTGTAGGCCTTCCAGCAAGCCAGCAATCAGGGTGGGGGAGATGGGGCTTACTGGGTTGGTTCCTTGGTTCTAGTGACCAGGGGAGGGTGGGAAAGAAAAGCAAAGGAAGGGAGGGGGTATCACAATAGCATTTCACGCACACGCTTGGATATTAAATAGCACAATCACAACAATGAGAATCTTTATGCATATATCTTTGTATTCAGTACAATTTTTCAAAACAGTGACACACACACACACCAAAAAAAGGGAATACAATGTTTCAAACAGTTACAGCTCATTGGTCAACATTACAAACTAGGTTTAGATTATCTAGAGGCTTTTAAAAGAGGATTGAGGTGCAGAGTTGACTCTCAAAAAAAGTGCTGATACAGACATATCTAGAAATAAACTGCTACTTGTTAAGTACTTCTGGTGTTTGCATACAGTGTCCGATACATAGGGAAGACAGCAAGTCCATACTGGTCTTTGTACATGCTATGTGGTAGATGCTACTCACATTGCTCTATTTTGTAAAGTAGGCAAGGCTCAAAATTTGATCGATTCACACTGATTACTTGGTACAATGCATGCGTTATTGGTACAGACTGTCTTAACAGGAATTAGCTGGAGTTTTAAAATTCTGACAAAGCCACTTTTGTCTTCAAAGGACTTTTATCTTTTTCAGTTGTTCAATTATTCAACCAGTTCTTACTTATTCCAAACCACACGCCATCCCATCCACCCCTATCCCAGGAAGACCTACACTGGGGGACAGATGAAAAGAAACACTGACGGTGCAGAACATGGTGCCGACACTAAGACAGCGATACACAGCTCCGTCTCACTACCCACCTCCCAAGCTCAGACCCTCAGGGAGCCAGCGAGCTGCCTCCTGAGAGGGAAGAACAAAACTCCAGGGGAACATGACTGGTCTGACTCACTTAGGATGAGACAGAGGGTGCGATTATGAGGTGGGCTCATTCTTAGCCTGAAGTTTAGCAGATGGAAGAAAATCCCGTCATTTGCTTAGCTTTGGAAAATGCTGTAGGTCTCATCTTGGGGGGTGGTATGAAAAGCGAGCCCAGTCCTCCCTCCTACACCCTTCCCAAAAAGCAGGCTGCGGGTGTGGCTGCTTGTGGAGAAGCTGCACGCTAACTTCAGATAGTGCGGAACTCAAGGCCCAACCCGCAGTGACTGATAAAGTCATACCTTCCATCTTCCGCTCCTTTGGGGGTGAAAATGTCACAAAGAGGATTACATGGCTTTTCTCAGTGTATAGGCCATTCTTCTGTTTTCTGCTCAAAAAAAGAAAAAAAGCCCACACAACCACATTCTGCTTTACTATTTAAAAAATGGCTGTCCCCCATAGTAAAAGTCCCTTCTAACGCGATAGCTTTGGCTTCAAAATTAACAAATCGATTAGTTCAAATTAGTAGTGACTGCACTGACCATATTCCGGTAAGTATTGCAAAGGTCTTCTAGAGATGAAGATAAAGATGTGAATCTACTCCAGTGATGGTGGGAAGAGGAGGGTTGAGGAGTGAGCCTTTTCTTCAGCGAAATGACAGGTGCATGAAGCAGTTTTAAAATGAACTACCCTTTCAGGACAAGGAGGTCAGAGCTGGCTTTGTGAAATGCTGTCATAGGAGAAAGATCCTTTGAAAGTCAAGGGGGGTGGGGCGTGGTGTATGGCTTCCCAGTCTTGGTTTGTACAAGCTCTGTAGCCCATGCATCTGCGTACAAAGAGCAATAGACCTGTCTATTGCACTGGAGGAGACGTGGCTAAGTCACACGGAATACAGGGGGTGCTTACCTTGAGTAACTCAAGTGCTACTTTGCCTCTGTGTGGCTGAGAGTTCCCAATTGCATAGTGGAGACAAGAGGTGCTATCTCTGACCCACGGGGACCAGGACAGGAGTGGAGTGGGTGAGAGCGAGTGAGAAAGCACAGCGCCTTCTCCGGAGAAAGGCAGTGTTCAAGTAACAAAGTAATCCCATCAAAAAGCACAAAATTCAAGTAACAGAGTCGCAGTGCTGTGTTCTGGCTTTTGGGCAGAGGCCGTGTGCATCTGCTGTAGAGAGCTGGTAGGTAAATGAGCTGCATGGCTGAGGACACGAGTTCTATGCAGAGCCTATCAAGTCATCTGTAGCACTGAGGACCAACGTTCTCCTTGCGGGTAGAAATGAACCTCGGGAAAAGCTTAGTGGAATTAGCAAGCAGTCCAGGGGAACTATTTAATGCATATCCCATTTATGCTCCCTGTATATGATCTTCAATTTGGTTATCAACCTAAATTTCAACAGTCGAAAGGTTTTCTTCATTTTGCAGGTAGAAAGAGAAAGTTTTTAAAAAGCTACCCTGATTTTTTTTCACCTACCTTTTAGCATAAGAATAAAAATCAATCTGGTGATAGGTACGGAGGGAAAATTCACGCATGCAAACAATCCCCCCACCAGCAGAGCAGGAAAAGATCAGGAATTTTTTGCATGTAAGAAACTTACTCTCTTTTTACAGTTCCTCTTAAAGCAGGCTGGTGTGCGTATGCCTAAGCAGTAGTAATACCAGAGAACTAGGAGGTCTGGGAGGTGTTCTCCCGGGGTCCTGAAAGGCGCTCAGAACAGAAGCACAGAGGAGCACGTAACAGTCTAGAGAGAACCTTTTCTAAATATTTCACAAGGAAAAATTGGGACAACTTCACACTTGAAAACCACAATATTTATTTTTCCTGGACAAAAATAAGCCAGGAATCCATTTTATCACGTGGACGTGAAAACATCTCTCTTCGAGCCCCCAGCATTGAACTTCCAACTCCTGTTTCAAAGGGCTGCTCCGAACCTCTACTCATTTGCATTGGACAAAGCGGGAAGGGTGCAGCGAGATGCCTGGGCCATCCTGCCGCGGTGAGGCCAGATGCACCGTCGCTGGGAGACGCCGTCATCATCGTTTCTTAGTGCCACTGCTCCCGCTGCTGGGTTTGCCGAAGCCCCTGCTCATCTGCGGGAAGCGCACGGTCGGGGTTCTCTCTGTGGGACCGTAGAGGCCCAAGTTCCTGGCCGCGGCTGACTTCCGCAGCGGCTTGACGCTAGGGAAAGGGCTGAAGGCGGGTGCTTTGGAGTGGCTGTCGTGGGGAAGCCTGCTGGCAGCTTTACTTGCTCCGGGGGTTCCGCACGGCTCTGGCACACGCTGCTGGCAGAGCGGGTGCACCTTGGGTCCACTTTCAGCAGGGGCATCCCTCCGGTTCAGTTCCAAGGCTTCTAACTTCACCTGCACCGCAGACACGTCCACGTCAGCCTCCCCAAACACGGGCTCGGGGGACTGGCCTTCGATTGTCCTCGCGGTGCCGTCAGCGTGGCTGCCTTCGCCCTCAGCCGTCGCTGCGCAGCTGGAGGAGAAGTCCTCGCCCGTCCCCAGGCTGCTGGCCTTGCAGCCCTCGTTCTGCTCCTCCATCAGCCCTACGGTGTCCCCACAGCCCAGGAGGCTCTTGGTCCTCGGCATGTTCTTTCTGTGAACTCGGATGTGAGTTCGCCACGGAGAGTTGAGCTTCGTCTTCAGGTCCTCCTGGCGGGCAGGAGACGCCTTGCCTCCCGCGGGGCCGGGGACGTGGATGACTGCGTTCTTAGCAGCTCTGTCTGTCATCTTCATCTTCTTCCCTAGAAGAAGGTGGTTTATCACTGGAGAACTGTTTACCTGAGACGGAAGAAGGCTGGTCACTGGCCCTTTGTCTGAAAGAAAGGTTGGAAGGCTGTGAGAAATGTACCAGAGAGAAACACATCCACCTTGAACCACGTGAAGATCCCTAGCCCCTCCCACGTTCCCTCCCACGTACTCTCAGATGCTGGCAGGGCCATGTGACTGAGGACAGCAGAACTGAATTCCACCCTAGCGTCTGGGGAGCCAAGTACCCGCTCTTCAAAGACACTGAAGGAGGGAAATTGAAAGGAGACGGGGACTCTGACCCCCTCATTATTAATGAAAGCCCACTCTCCCTATTTTTTTCCAGAGAGAGCAACCTCAGAGGTCCTTTTGTGTGTATGAGAGACAGCGTCCGACTAGGTAATTCAGGCTTGCCTGGACTCTCTATGTACCCCAGGCTGGCCTCGAACGCACAACGATCTTCCTGCCTCAGCCTCCCCAGTGCTGAGATTACAGGTGTGTGCCACCACTCAGAGCCCTCATATGCAGAAAATTCTTTGAAAATTTTAAAAAATAAGATAATGAACACTATGAACTATGACCCTATGGGTTAACAGCCATCAGCTGCTAAGAGGTAAGACAAGAACACACCGCACACATGATGAAGTGAGACGGCGGGGGGGGGGGGGGGGGAAGGCTGCGGGTCTCAGTGGTGTCACACTGCTCAGTGCTAGTACTGAGCATGGAGAAGCACCTCTGTGCTCTCAGGGGACTTTCAAAGCCAGGTGACAACTGGAAATCATCAAAACCTTTGTTCTTCTGGAAAGCACTGTAAATTGTATTATAGTCCTGATGCTCTAAGGACAAAAAAGGAAATGTACGTGCCCGTGCTTTAAAATTAAAGTGCTGCCGCTGTTTAGTTTCTTTTGTGACTGTTTTCCTTTTAAAATACATTATTAGTGGTACACATTAATTTTATAATTTTGTTTGTTTGTTTGTTTTCTGGTACCGGGAATCAAGCTTACGACTTTGCGCTTGCCAGGCAGGCGCTGTGCCGCTGAGCTAAATCCGCAGCCCCAATTTTATAATTTTATACAAGTTTATGTGTATATTATACACATAAACATATATCATATTTTGATCTGTGATTGCCTTTTTAATGATTCAGGATAAAGAACCTCCACGAGTCACCTATTTCTCCTGGTAAGGGGAGGTAAATTCAGTTCTTATGCAAGATCAGTCACATGCTCACAAGCCACTTAAAAACATATCAAATAGACATCTTGGTTAAATCTGGACAGGCATGATTTTCGTTATGATATTTAGTTAGAACAAGAACAATCACTCCCAAATCAGCATATATTAAACTATAAAGCAGATTATTCAGAGATTTTCCCGAATTAAAAGGAAAAGTAAGCTTGCCAATCCTTGGAAAGGGGCACCACCAACTGCAGCTGTGTTCTTGGCGCATGCCCAGAACACTGCTAACTCCTCAGTGAGCACCAGCTTCTTAATGTTTTGTCCATTTTCCCCGCTCACAACCTCTGTTCCACTACTACCTCAGTGACCGCTGTATCACGTGCACTGTATTACGAGCGCACAGACAACTAAGCCTACTATGAAACGCATGAATTCCTCAAATCCAAGGATCGCAGGGCTTTGCAACGTTCTACAGCATCTGTCAACCCATCTCCCCAAGCACACAAAACAAAGACGCAGCTGATACCGTCGGCTGACTGGTCCTCAGGCCCTACAGGGAACCCATGGTTTTTTTCTTCTTTAAAGCCTAACAAAATAAAATTTTAAAGTGAACTGCTAAATACACTACTATCTCAGGCCGACGCAGTCCGTGGCTGCCAAGCTGCGCTTAGTCATCCCACAGCCTTCACTGCGCAAGCTGAACCCAGGACGAAAGCCATTCCCGTTACCTGCCCGGATGTACACCTGGTGCACCTGCTGCTGCTGCTTCTTCTTGATGCGAGAGTACTGGCGCTTCAAGGCGCTGATGTCCGTGGTCATGCGCTCCATCATCATGCTGTTGAACGCTGCGTGGTACTCGCTGCGAGAGGAGTTGATAGCTCCTGGGCTCAACTCTGCGATGTTGTTGGACCTCAGACTCTGGTCTTCCTCGGCCTCTGCACTCAGGGAAGAAACAAACTCAGTGGGGAGTAACAGGATCAAGTAGGAATCAATCACACTGCAACCCCGTGTGATACCTCAGCCTCCAGGACATGCAAAACTACAAAAATGCCCCCTGGTGCTTATTTTCATTGGGTTCCATATTTTCATATTAGCCTAACTGTGGGTCTCAACGGAGCTGTGTTGGTTGGTTGATTTTGTTACTTCTGTGTTTGTTATATAAACATAAGATCAACTGCTTCTCCATGGAAATCAACGCCATTTCTGAAATTCCCTTAGAAAAACACAACACCAGATGTCTAAAATCATTGTGCAGATACTCGTACAACTGCCTGTGGATTTATAAAAGACTGGTGGCTTGTAGGGTTGAGACAGTCATTAAAAGTGCATTTTCCTTAAGCTAAAAATACTGATACATTTTATAAATGTTTCAAAGTTTCAGACTAATGTATCACTAGAAATGAGTGTTTTTATTCATTTAACAAACATTCCCTGCTGCTTCCTGGGAGTGTTACATCTGATACAGCGTCTGTTCCTGTGACATCAGCAGCTAGTAGATCTGTCCCTTAAATAACGCTGAGATCACATGGAGGAAAGAGAAATAATTACTGCAGCGAGGGTGTCCTCACAGGCTGCACAAGACCAAGGGCAGAGGCCCAGGCTTCTCCAGGACAATACGTGATTCTGGCCTGGAACCAACTGAAAAAGTAAGACGTTTCAACTCTTCTAACCTCTACTGAATCTGTCAGATAAAAGCTGAACAGCCCATACATTTACTTCCTTTGTTCCTAGAAATCACTTCTCTCCAGAGAAGAAAATAAAAAGGAGAACTGCCACTTCAAATACAATCCATGAGGAAGGACAATGCTCAAATGGGGAGAAGGTGACGGTGCCATCCTGGAGCACGTAACTGCACAGGACACAGTAATGACGCCCGGTGATAATGAGCCAGCACAGCCTGACGGCCTCAGTCGACAGCTTCCCGTTCACCTTTAATCTGCTTCTGGTACTTCTGGAGCTCAGGCACCAGGAGCCCGCTGAAGGGGCCAAGGCACCCCACGGCGTTCGCAATCGCATCTTCGTCGTCCGGCTCGTTCTCTTCATCGCTATCTCTGACCTTACCGTGTCGCCTTGGGAAACGCAGAAAATGAATAGTGAAAGAAAGCAGTGGTATTTTTTTAAAAAACAGATAATAGCATCACATGGTTTAAACATCATATTTACATAATTATAGGATTATTGAAAGTCTTCCATCTTTGCCAAATTCTGCCCAGTTCTTGCCCTACCTAATTCCAACAGGTAATATATATTACCAATTTCTTAGGTGTTCCTCAGTTTGTCTATGCGTAGATAAGCAGATATATCTATAGTTCTTTACCTTTGGTTTGCAGAAATATTAACATACTATATAACCTCTTTCATATTTTGCTTTTAATCCTTCTGTATTCACATAGAGCTTTCTTACCCTTTCTACGGCTGTATTATATTTACACAGCTCATGATACGGAATCAGGCTGCCAATGGTGCCTACTCAGTTTCCAGTATTATACTATTGTAAACAATACTACAACAAGTAACCTTATACACACTGTGTTTTATATGTGTGAAAATAAGCCTGTGGGATAACTGCTGAGAGAATTGCTGAGACAAATGCTATTTGCACTAGTAATTTTGGTATATACTGCGACTGTGACTCATTACAAATCCTCTAGCAATTAACCTCTCACAGCAATGTATAACAGTATCTATTTCCTACAGACTTACTAGCAGAGCGCACCATCAAACTTTTGAATTTTTGCCAATATAGAGGTAGTAAAACAGAACCTAGTTTTAGACCACTTTTCAGTACTGATGACAATGCATTTTTTTATAAATGGTTCATTTCCATTCTTTCATCACTTTTCCAGGAGTAACTATTTTATTATTTTCTAGGAATTTTATACATTTTATATATTTTATAATATATTTATATATTAAAGATATTGGCTTCTATTTTGTGTAGAAGTTTAAAATACTTTTCCACACATACTTTCTAGTCTACTTTAGAGAGGTTTTGTTTTGCTCTGTTTTGGCTTTGGCCAGGTAGAAAATTATTTTTCAGTAAATGTAGTATTTTTCCTTTATTTTTATGTTGAATAATTTACTAAGGCTATTCAATTTCAAAGAACTACAGAAACTCTCCCACATTTTCTTCTACTCATTTTTCCATTTAATATTCTCACCCATATATGAATATACAACACAAATGATTCTTTCTAGATTAATTCTCATTGGCTCAGAGCTATTTCCTAAATTGTACATTTTTCACTGCTGATTTAATGTACTAATTTTTCAAATACTAAATTGTACATATTTGTCAACGTCTGGTCTTTACAGTATTTTAAATCAGCTCACCTGTCCATTTCCACATTAGCTCCCCATAATTTTAATTTTGAGGTTTTAAATACTTTGTGGACTTGCTAAACATTCCTTTAATTTATGTTCCAAACTTCTTTGCAAAGCATTCTGACTTTTGTTTTAGGGATGTTTTAGGATTTTGTTTTGTTTTTTTAAATCTCTCTTGAGTTTAAATCAAAACATTTGGAAAAGTTATTGAGCTCGTAGGTACCAAATTACTTTGCACATATTTCTGGGGCTTAATAAGTACTCATTTACAATAATAAAGGGATTAAGTCTTCCATCATGAAAACAACAAGGAAAAAGAAAATCTTACCCAGAAACTGAGGTGGCTTTCATGGTGGCTGGAAATGGTGTAATGTTGTAGGTATACTTTTCCCTCAACTCTGCCAACTGTGGAAAAGGGAATGGCGCCATCGAATACACCGTCTGAAAAGCAAAAGCAAGAAGGTCAAGTCTTCAATGGAGGCCCTAAACTACGCTTGTCCACCCCCGAAAGACAATTACAGTTTCATAATGCCGAGGGTGAAGAGGCAGGTACACAGCAAGTGAGAGAGATTCCATCTTAGTAATACACTTTAAAGACAAAAAGAACATTGCAGAGCGAGCATCCCTAAAGCAAAATCCAAAGTTCTTAAACACTTACAGGATGCCAAAAATGGAAAATGGCGCACCTGACCTCACGGAACAGATCACAAACAAAATTCAAGTGCACTAGAAATACTCCACAAAAGTACCATCAGGCTATTTGTGTATAAGGTGTACATGAAACATAAATGAATTTCATTTTTAGACCTGGGTCCCATCCCTGGGTCCCACCTCATTACATAAAGGTAAATATCCTAAAATCCAAGCTGTGAATCACTTCTGGTCCAAGGTTTTCAGATAAAGGATACCAAATCTGTACTGATAAGTGTAACAGTGAGGCCTCCAACCAATGCCCAGTTGGCTGGGTATTCTAACTGGTGAACATGACTGGCCAAATGCAACAGCCTGGCTCCCTCCCATCATTTCACAGACGGGTAAAATCGGAAATCCACAGTGCCCGTCAGCTCTACAACAAACAGTCCACAACTGTCCTTCCTTTTAAAGATAAAGCTTGTTCTTCGCTGTCTTGAGTTTTATGGACACTGATGTCAGCCTTCGGAATAACACCATCTTGTGGAAGATCTTGTGATCGACGGCAAGCTTTCTCCAAAGATACCGCCTTTCCGAACATCTGTAAATGAGTTCTAGGTGAAAATTGTTACCTGTTATTTTTAAAGGAAAAGAAAAAAGTGACAAGGTGTAAAACACCGACTGTCAAAAGACGTATAATTAAAAACAGGGAAAAGCACCTGCACTTAACACCAGCACTTTGAGACTATGCCTTATTTCATCAGCAGGAAGAGAATAATCTTGTTTGTTCTTTTGTGTTTGTGAAAGTTTAATAGCTCCAGCCAAATTCCTATAACCCTTCAGGTTCTTACTGACTAGAAATGCATATCAATCACACTACCATTTTATCTGTGAAGCCAATCAATCATCCTAACACTTTTCTAGGAAAATATTTTTAAATGATATTTTTTTCTCCCAATTTCTGTTTCTCTGAAGAATTAATGCATCTAATATGTGTAGGGATAGTGTGTTGGTTTGTGGGGTATCTTTGCAAGGGGAAACAATATAATACAGGACACATATTTTATATGATTATTTATAACAGTCACCCAAAGAATGATATACAAAAGAGTGCAGGAAATCTGTCCACACACTAGACCAAAGAATCCAGCTGAGGGCCTGGGTCCCACGGCAATGTCCTGCATGAGTCCAGCTGAAGACCTAGAGCTCATAACAATGCTGCCCACAAATCCACAGCAACGTCTTGTGTAGACCTGTTTCACGGATCTGCACTCGGAAGGCCCAAAGGTCAGTGGTGGAATCTAGGAAGTCTGTGACAGCGGGATGAAGGGTCTGTGCTAGCAGGCTGAGGGATCTGCACTGGAGCCAGGAAGCAATGCTCAGAAGAACCAGAGCTCCCCCGAAAAGTACCACAGCCATCTTCAGCAACAGTGAGGTCCCGAGCTCCTCCAATGATTTAGATGGCCGAGTTCCCATCAGGAAAGCCAATGTAACAAGCTTCTCCAGGAGACCAGCAGTGCACCATCTTCCCCTCCAGAGCCAGGAAGCAATGCACAAAGTGAGGACCAGAGCTCCCCCAAAGTGAACCAAAGCCATTCTCAGTGCCAATAATGTCCTGAGCTCCTCAGAGGATGAAAACAGCTGAGTTCATCAGGAAAGCCAGCATGACGAGCTCCTCCAACAGAACCAGCAGCTCCTTACAGCTTCCACCAGCTCCCAACGGCCCCTCTCAGCTCCCAACAGTCTCCTTCTCCTTCTCCAGTTCTGCCTCTTATGCTGCTGGCAACAATCCCCAGGTGGGCCTCCCACACCCAGCACCAGCTTACTCCATTCAGCTGGGCGTTATAAGCTGACCACCAGTTGTCAATCCACTACAGATAGGAACAGGAGGCTTGAAGGGACTTCAGTCACTTTGTAGGCCAATACCAGCGCTGTGAAAACCCATTCCAACCTTGGCGCTAACAGCCTGAACATGTACCTGACTGCCCGCAACCTTCACGGCATCCACTTACACTTCACCATAGCGCCACAAAATCCCGAGCAGGTGTTGGCTACAACTCCTTCCCTTCAATTCTCCATGCTTACTGAGGCGAAGCTACGGTTTACAGGGACCGCAGAAGTAACCTCTGCGCTGCCTTATCACACAGGCTACATACTTGCGCATGTCCCGAAGGCTGAGAACGAGTACACGTTTACTAACAGTGAAGTATGCCTCCAACCCAAAGAGAAACAGCGGGCACCTTGTGGCTCTCGGTAGCCCAAGTGTGAATTACATGGATTTCCAATCTTCCTGGCTTCCCTCTCCTCATCTGAGAAATGCAAGGTATGAAACTCAGGGGTCAGAGCTACTTCTGAGAGGAGAGAAGCTGGTAAGATGAGGACGAAGGGTCTGAGTGCGCTCGCCCATCTGTTACTGCTTTATTTCTTTAGCTGCATACGGTTATGTAGGTCTTGCTGTGCTATTCTGAATAAATTCTGTATGCCTGAAATACTTTATAATTTATTAATAATACTGTCAGAATGACCTCTCTGGCTCTGCAGAAGCATCCAACAGTTGCCTCACCATCACTGCCGGTTTCTTCCCTCCACAATTCCCACGACCACGTCTTACTGTACACACCCTTCTGAGGGGAGGGAAGAGACGCACAATCCTAACTTCAGAAGCAAAGCTCAGCTCCTCTCTTGGATCCCGGGCACAGCAGCACGGGCTCAAATGGATTGACCATGGCACAGCACATGTGCTCCCACAGTAGGACCAGGAGTCAACCCACCCCCTCTCTCCAGGGGTTTCTTTTTTCTTAACAGTTGAATAACTTGGTCCAGACATTTAAGAAAATCATACAATGTGGATCAACTTTTAAACATGAGAGAACCAAAAAATGAGATTACTAATGCTAGAGATTTTAAAATGCCTTATAAGTAAGATATCTCACTGAAGACTAAAAAACTGGGGTGTCTCGCAGAAGATTCACCTGTGCTTGACTTTTCCTAGTTTTGTAACAGGGCATTGGACAATTTCCTTGTCCAGCTCTGTAATGGAAGAACGGGAAGCACCTCCTGCCCTCATTTTCCTCCATCCTGCCCCGGGGCAGATGGTCTGGGCTCTGAGCACACTCAGCTGCAGACCCCTGATGAGACAGAGACAGACAGAGACACAGAGACGCAGAGAGAGAGAGGAGAGACAGAGAGATAGACTAGCTAGCTTCCATTTCTCCTTCAGGTCTTCCTTCCTCTGTTGTTTACTTACAGTCGGTCCTTCGAAGAAGCAATCAGTATTTCTGAAACAAACGTGTTTATAGTTCTTCTTTGCTTACACTCATTCGCTTATCCGAAGAGCTGGCGTCTGAAGGTATGTTTGTCCTGTGCGCCCCATGTATCCCTGGCTCCCCGTGGCAGCACTCCAGGTACATGAAAACCTTGAGGCTTCCAACTTACAAACTGGAGATTTACAACAGACTCCAAGAAAGATTTTACTAAGCTCTTAGAGCTAAAGTGGTACAGTAATAGAATCTCAGGGTTCTGAAGGAATTTAAACACAATGTAGCTCAACCTCTCTCCCACGCGAAGAGCCTTTTCTAGCGCATCTCTGACAGATGGCCCCACAGGCACTGCCTAAACACTCCCAGCTACGGGCACTCACCACTCTGCGGGGCAGATGGAGTCAATTTCTGCCTGAACTAATGAATCAAACATTGTCCTTGTACTGAACAAGCACCCACATCCTTGCAATTTCCAACCCATCACTGATGGAAAAAGGGAAGAGTTAGGGCCAAGCGCAGCTCCCACCCCTAGCACGCAACAGCTGCTTGCAGGTAACAGGAAATTGTGTTTTGAAAGAGCACACGCACACACGCACACACACACATAGACACACACACACAAAGCACATACAATCCTAATAATAGAAACTCGCAAATTTTTCTCGATAAGACCCTCAAGGAATTTACCTAAGATGTTGTCAAAGGTCCCGCTCATGTCCAGATGTACCACTTCATCAGCACTCCCCCAGTTCCCCTACTTAATGCTATCGGTTTTTCAAAAGTAAAAATTGGCCTCTGCTAATTAGAAGAGTTACATGATCTATATTAACTTGCGTATGTCACTTAGAGAATCAGGAAAAGCCAGAAGGGGAGAATCCTTTCATCTCTTCAGCTCAAAAATACAGACTTTATATTTAGCCCACATTTTTCATCCAGAGTCATTTCAAGTTTGTTGACAGATTTATGGTCTACCATAGCCAGATCACAGTCACTGAACTGTTTTTTCTTTTTTTTAAAAAAAAAAAAAAAGAATGAATTCAGAAAAGAGTGGTTTGAAATGACATTCACCATTTCTAATATTCTGGATGCCAAAGAAAATTGACAAGTCTATTTACTATCTGAAATACCAACATACATTTAAATAGACATTTATATTTAGGCACTGTTGAAAAGGAAGTATATTTCTTTTTTTCATTACTGACATGTTTCACAAGAAACATGAAAATATAACTTGTAAAAAATCAGGCTTAGTTCATCCTCACCCAGATGTTTTCCTTGACATGCCTCAGAAATGTTACTAAAATGGAATCTAACTAATCTTCCCACAGCCCATAATTCTCTCTCTAGGATTCTCTTAAAGCAGGATAAAGAAGCTGTTCTTCCTCTTGATATCTAATTAGAAACTCCTGGAGAACAAAGACGGTATCCAACATCTCACTAATTCCTTCTGGCATTGTTTAAATTCTAAGTGAATTGAGATGCTGCCTTATTCTTCTAAAGAGGATTTCTTCTTTCAGAAAGACATCACTGGAGTAAGGCAGAACAAGAAAGCATTAGACCAGGAGTCCAGGACGTAGCTCTCAGCCCTGGCTCTGCTACTAGACCACTAAGGATGCCCGCTCTCCAAGTCTCGGCCTCCTTCCTGTAAAGTGATAGAACTCGATGAGCTGACATTGAAGGCTTCTCTAAGCCAGTTTCTCTACCTGCTCTAAAAGCCACCTGCATCAGACATACCCATGGGCCAAATATCTACATTTTATATACTCCCGAAGTATTTATTACACACAGTCAAGCTTGAAAACCACTGCCTCAAAATCAAACGTACTATGATTCTGCATATTTACAGAGCAAGCGGTTATATGCTTAGCATTCTGTTGGGTGCTACGGAGAGTACTACAAAGCCCTTTTCATCAAGAAACTATGTCTTCTCAGAGAGAAAAAGTCAACACACTTGAAAATCACAAACAGCATCATCAAGTCATTGCAGGGAGCAGTAAGCCAACCGCTGGACATCTTTAGCACCGTGGAGACGCTGTTGGTGAGGGCAGAGACGACGGAAGCTGTGGGGTGAAGGGGGACTGGGTGGGCGCGTGGGGCTCTCACCGATACCCCACCGGAGGGACCTGGGACCTACAGAGCCCTGGGCAGGACGGAGCGGCGACCAGCAGGCTAAATTCCAGTTATGAAGCAGTGCGGGACACCTTTGCATGAAGGAACAGGGCGGCCACAGAACACCGCCAGTGCAGCCTGGAAACGGGGTCGCCTCCTCCCCGCAGTGCGCTTACTCTTCCTCCCAGGCCAGAAGCTTACAGGTCGCCCTCGCGCCCCCATTCCTTCTCCCACACCCCTATCCAGCTTCCCGGGCCACACGCAGTCAATTTCCTTTGCTGACACCGTCTCTGTTCCGCTCTTGTCTTTACGCTTCGCTGCCTCCTCACAGGCCTTCCGCTGTCCGGCCTGACCTTATCAGGCCCATCTTCACAGAGGACGGACACCGCTGACATAAAACACCACTCAAGCCGACCGTGGTGGCGCACATCTGTAGCCCAGCACTTGGGAGACTGAGGCAGGATTGCAAGTTTGAGGCCAGCTTGGGCTATACAGCGAGACCCTGTCGCAAACAAAACAAAACACCACCACCCACTCAAAACATTTTCATCTCAAAAATATTTCAGATCCACGGCTCCTCTTTTTCCCTTTCCAAGGGTCCGCAGAAGCCCCAGAACTCCGGCAAACAGTTTCTCAACCACAGCCCTAAAGGTCAAGCTGCCTACAATGGGCTGCAACCTTCCCTGCTCCGGGCCCTGGTGCCAAACTCCGTGTGGCGTCACTCAGAGGCTCCACAGCCTCCCATGGCTCCGCCTCTGCCCGGCTGCTCCCGTATCCACCAGCCACTGCCTCTGTCTGCTCCGCACCAGGGCCTCCAGCCAAGGTCCCCACGCACATGAATGAGTGCACAGGAAGCCCGGGCAACTCCCATTTCATTCATCTTTAAAGACAGAAACAGGGGGCTGGGGATTTAGCTCAGTGGCAAAGCGCCTGCCTGGCAAGTGCAAGGTCATGAGTTCGATTCCCGGTACCGGAAGAAAAACTACAAAAACAAACAACAAAGAAAATAAAGACAGAAACAGACAGCAGTTCCCTCAAGGGAACCTTTCCGACTTCTCCCCACCCCACCCCTTGCCCCTGCCTCTCAGGCACTAGGCCCTCTCTCCTCCTCGGCCCCCACACTTCTCTCTCAGTGCACACCCCACTCTGTGCTACAGGGAGCTACGAGCCCAGGGCTTGGGGCCCATATCTTCTTCCCTGTGTGTCCCCAGAGTCTGGTTCAGTACCTGACGTTTGGAGACGCTCAGGAAATATCTGGAGATGTTCATGCAGATCCTAGAAAACAAAGCTGAGACGCTTTATTCCCAGTACTAACAGAAGGCCTCCGTACCTGGCACAGTGAAATAACCAGAGCAACCGTGTGGACGACTGCACGCCCGTCAGGACGCTGACTGTATGAGAGGGGGTCGGGAAGGAGGGCCAGCCCCTGCACGCTGTGTGCACACCCGCAAGCAGCGACTGACAAAGCACAGGCAGAAAACTAACCAGACTCTCAATGAATGCTTGCTTGCTGAATTAATACCTTAACGAGCTACTCTCCTAAAGCCAAAGCCCAAATGGCAGCCTCTGCCCTCAAGGAAGGTGTAGAACCACTGAGAGAATAAGACACAGTAGAACTGGGGTAGCATATGATGAAAGTGCTCAAGATATGACAAAGAAAACACCCAAGGAAATGGGAGATGATTTTAGTTAAGACCGTGAGAGAAGGTGAGGAAGGAGACAGTATCTGAACTGAAATCTTCCAAAGGGAGGTCTGTGAAGGGAGAAGCTCGCTGAGAGCACGAAGGTGTAAAGGAGATGTGTTTCCAGGTGTTTCTTCCAGCCTGGAAGACAGTTCAGCTTGACGAGACTGAGACAGCATGCAAGGAGGAACAGGAGCTACGGCCGATAATGTGGATCAACACTGCCTAGGAAACAGCGCTGGGGTTTACCAGAGAAAGCTATGCTGTTCTGCCGGTAGGGAGGAGCATGGGACTTCCATCTGGGAAGAAGCGACGTCCTCTCAGAGTCCTGCTTTGGGCATAGAATTCTGGCAGCTCTGCAGGATATGTGGGAAATGCCAGGTGAAGACAGGGCATGGAATGGCGCTCGGTGTAAGGCACTTTCCTCCGGGGGAGTGCATGGAAGCCAAGGCCCAGGAGCTATGACAAGAGCTGGAGTCGGAGCACACACACAGAGTCAGACGGGAAACTTCCTCCTCTGAGACAAGAGGAGCAGCGGAGAGAGGACGGTGCAGAGGAACATGGAAGGGACAGGAACGCTCAGGACAGTCGTGCCAGGCGGGCGGTGTCCTTGAGGAGGCAGGCAGCTGTCTGCTGAGAGCAACAGATTCTGAGAAGGAGCCGGGAGGACCAGGAAGTGAGTGAGGGAGCGCAGCACCCCCTTCTCAGGCCGTAAATCAGTACCTGAACCTTAGTTTTCTAGTTTGTTTTGACTGAACCGTAGCACTCAAAAATGACCTCGGGCATGGAACCCAGCACAAAGGTGGAAGTTGAAACCAAGAAAAAGGAGAGACAAATCAAAAGAGAGACAGAAACGGAAGGAAGAAAGACGCAAGGACAATCTCTGATAGTCACACAAATGGTCAGGGGCAAGAAGGGGAGGCAGGAAAAGAAGTGGGCAAAAGTGCTGAAGGAGAGGAAGGGCAAAATTATGTTTCAGAATCTAAAGGAAGGCTGGGCATGGTGGCTCACGCCTGTAAGCCAGGCACTCGGGAGGCTGAGGCAGGAGGGTTGCTGTGCATTCAAGGCCAGCCTGGGCTACATAGCAAGTTGAAGGCCAGCCTGCACTACATAGAAAGGCCATATCTAAATGAACAAACAAACAAAAGAATATAAAGGAAGAGAGAGTATCCATAAGTCAGCTATCTTTTTGGATGGCCACTGTCAATTTCAGTGACTTGCGGAACATGACCTTGAGCTACAGTTACATCCCACAGAATAACGAAATCTTTCAAGTCTTCCACGCTGAAGTTTGTGATTTTTAGTAACCTGAGTTGAAAATAAACCAAAAGCCTGATTGAAATAATCTCCTCTTTTATCCTCAGTAATTTCTTTCCAAAAATAATTGTTTTACCCCAGAGCCCTCTCTCTGAGAGGATGAAGAACCAGATTCAGAATAAGCATCGGGCAATTTCACCACTTTTCTTTGCAGTTCATTTCTATCTTGGGCTTCATGATTTTTAAGCAACACAATGTGAGAGAGAGCCCCACAGGTGGCACACACCTGTAATCCCAACACTGGGGAGGCTGAGGCAGGAGGATTTCTGAGAATTCAAGGCTAGCCTGGGCTACATAGTGAGGTCGGGGCTAGCACCAGCCTGAACTATAGAGTGAGATCCTGTCTAAAAAAAAAAAGAAAGGAAGGAAAAGAAAAGAAAGAAAAGGAAGCCAGCCTGCCCCAACAAATAGCCATCACTCATTTCTTCTCTTTTTTTTTTTTTGAGATTGGGTTCACCCAGGATGGCCTCAATCCTCCTGCTTCAGCCTCCTGAGTGTTGGGATTAGAGGTGTGCACCACCCCTCTGGCTTTTCTCCCTTCTTGCTGATTTATACACTGACTCTGGTCAGCTGAAAAACTAAGCTTGAAAGGTGGCCAGATGCATTTCCCTGGGCCACTGCCCAGCACCAGTTATTCCCAGCTATTCCCGCAGGACCCAGGGCTCCCGCACCTGGGGGATGTGCTGCCCACTCACCTGGATGAGCTCATGGCTTTGCAGAAGGTCGTTCTCCAGCATCTCCTGGGTAAGGCGCCCCATCGTGCTGTAGAATTCATCTGCTGTCTCACAGCACTCTATCTGCCTGGATGAAGAAAGGACAGAGACAGGATTTGTTTAGGGTCCACATGCTATAGGTCTGGCACTGCTGCAGTACAAGATGTGCTATTTCCTGCCATCAAATCAATTAAGGTGGCAATCAACAAAAATCAAACTCCTGGGTCACACTCACATACAGCAAGCTATATCCAGAGAAAAGATCAAAAATACTAAGAGCAAGCTCGGAGCAAAGGTGCACTCCTATAGGCCCAGCTGTTCGGGAGGCTGAGCAGAGAAAGGGTTGCCTAGCCCAGGAGTTCAAGGCCAGCCTGGGGAACACTGTGAGTCTTCCACTCAAAACAAACAAAGTAATTTAGAGATACTTGTCCCAGAACGACTTCCCATCTCCGCTGCTTGGCTCCCCAGCCTCCCAGCCTCCCAGCCCCACGGCGGTGTCTTTATTCCTTCCATGCGACACATTAAACACATCCGAATACCCACCACTGAACAGAAATCCCACGCGAAAAATTGGGTACCGAAGAACAATTACCCCCTGTAGGGAACCTGCTGGCCTGAATCTGCAGTGGTATCATTAGCAGACTGAAATCAAACCACAGTTGAATTACAAGGTGAAAAATACAAGAACTTTATTTGCATATTTCATCAGTTCACACAATGCTTTCACAGGCAGAGCTTTCTGAGTTCTTCTCCGGAAGAATCTATCACCTGGTAACACAGTGAGACAGGTTTGATTCTAATCTTTCCTTTAAAGGAGGTCAGAAGAAATAATCCAAAACAAACAGCACTAAGTATTTCTGCTTCCTCTATCACAATAGTCTTTGTGTAGGATAGTTCTGTTTACCAACCAACCATAAAACATACGCTTTGACACACACATTAGTTGGGTGATTCTTAGAGTCATCCAAAAAAATTAATAATATGGTGATGGAAAAATCTCAGGCTCCAAAAGGTGTTTCAAATGCCAGTACCACAATCATAAATAAAAGAAATAAAGAGTTGAGGTATTATTACAAAAGTACAGCACAGCATGTGGGAATACATTAAAAGTGGTTAAGTTTACCCCAGGGTGTGAAGAAGAGAAAAAATACTTGAGATGAGTTTTGAAAACTGCTCTCCAGGCCGCGAGGAACAAAAAGCACTGCAAAGGCTCAGATGCAGCAGAGAGCTGGTCTGCACCGCCTGCAGGCAGATCCACAAGTTCTGTGGGGAATCACTGCGCAGCCAGAGGGAGCCAGTGAGAGCTGAGGTCAGAGCTGCGGCTAGCATGTCACAAAGGTCTCTTCCACTAGCTCAGCCTCGACAGGACAAGAGGGCTGGAGAGGCTGTGCTCTTGGCAAGATCATCTGGGGATGACAGTGTGGCCTTGGCGGTGGAGGGTTACCTTGACCGGCTTTGGCATCCACCCAGGAGGTTGGTGGAACACAGGTCTCCAGGAGACCGGGTGACCACTGCATGGCCTTGGGGTCTGTATCCGCTCCCTGGTGTCTTTCTCTGTGACTCTGTACCCATGCTCTTCTTCCCAGCTACGATGAGTGGAGCAGCTCCGCTCCTCCACAGCCTCCCACCACGCTGTTTCTGCCCTGGAGCCTGCCTACCACCACATGAATCTACTTAAAACACGAGCCAAACTGAACCTCTCCTCTCCAAATGAGTGCTGGGTATCGTGTCCTAGCAACAGGAAAGCAGACTGATACACACGACAAGTGGGGTATAATCAGGAGACCAGAGAGCACACGCTACAAGGGGGCAGGTAGGAAGCAATGAAGCCATAGGCCAGCAGGGTAGAACATGGAAGGAAAAGGACATGTAAACAGATGTGGGTGAAGAACTGAAGGTCTACAGCCTACAGTTAATGGAAGGAAGAAATTCCAAGCTGCAGATGCAAGGTGGATGCAAACATCCCAGGTAGAATCATATGTAAGGCACATAAGTTATTCATGTGCACAAAAAATTTGAGATTACTTATATGCTGTTTATCATTTTACAAGGGGAATATTTGTGGGGACTGTAACAGGCGTTGGAGTCAGAAAGATCTGGATGTGGGTCCCAGCTGTGCAACCCATCAGGCATATGACTAACTGAGCATCCTGCGATACTTTCTTCACTTGAGAAGATGGAAGAAAAACTTTCCACACTTCACAAGCTCGCTGGAAGAACTGAAGGCAGCGATGCAGTGCCCAGCAGAATGCCTTCCCTTGCCACTCACAGGTGCATCCTCAAAAGACGTACAATCTCAACGAGCAAAAAGTCTGAATCAGAAATACTGGCAGCAAAATTCACCCTCCCTAGGATCTGGAAATGAGATACCTGGATACAACCACTTAGTGAAGAAAAAAAGAAGTGATCTCCAGGAATCAGGAGGGAGATGACAAGAAAACCAGAAGCTACAGAGAAGCTGGAGGAACTGAACACAAAGTAGAGAAAAGCACAAAGCCAGTAGAAAGGCTAACCCCAGCTCCCGGGGAGGAGGAGCCGTCTTCACTAATACAAAGTAGAAGGTTAGCAGCTCCAGAGATAAATAATGGGCCAGCAGCATTAGCCCCAGGCAAAGTCCATGGTTACTGTACACTGCAAAAACAGTGTGCGGTTTTGCTCTGAAGGTGACTACTTCTGTATGGAAGGAGTCACTGGAGAAGAGATCAAGTGTAGCTCCCACCATATTTGAGAATGTTTAATCAAGAGCCATTTGGGGAAGGGGTTAATTGTTTAAGATTGAGGGGAAAAACAGAAAAACTACCCTTCAGAGTTTCTGGGCTCACCCTATCACAGGGACTTGGTGGAAGATGGCCACAAGACACAGTCATGGAGAGCGTGCAAGCTAGACAGAGACTCCCTGAGAAGTTTAAGCTCAGGCTGGAAAGGACATGAGGAGCCTGCTTCCTGTGATGAGAAGCCAGGCCACCCATGGTTTTCAGAGGGGCCTGGCTCTGAAAGCTCTGGCAGTAAGTCCAGCAGATTATTTTATTCCCTGCCCCTGCCCCACTGCCTACACCCAGCATGGATTCAATGATCTGTTTGCTTTCTCCATCTGCCAATGTGAACAAGGATATACCTCAGCTGGGACGGCTGCCACAGTCAGGGTGTACGAACACAGGGCACCCTGGAAGGGACAGGCCGTAACAGGTGGCTAGCATGAATTCGGTCACCGGGTGGACATCACTGACCCACCACACCCAGCGGGCAAGGCAGGGCAGGATTCAGCATTCACACACGAAAACATGGGTGTGGAAACAAAGTAGGTCTTCGTAGTGACTCACAACTCCTCCCCCAACGCTGCAGACCTTTGAAAGAAGCCACTCGTTCAACATCACAGAGAAATTGCTTTGGACTCACATCGCTTTTGCTTCATTGGATTTTAAGCATTTACGGTTTTATTTTTCCTCTTCATTTGGCTGTTTTTCTTGTTTGTTCTTTTCTGTTATTTTTATCTAATTCTGTTAATTTTCATTTACTTCTTAATAGAATCCTTTACCTTATTTTACTCCTTCCAATATTCCTCTTATTTTTCAAATTTTAGTTCTTGCATTTCCACTTACCCATTTCCTTCATTTTTACTACTATTACGTTTTATTAATCTTTAGATATATAACTGTCTCTATTATTGAATTCTTTTATATTGTTAATGGTGGTACAGTTGCTGCATTGAATAGTTATTTCCTGTATGTCAATATTTGGTGTATTTTGTGTCTATATTATACTTACGGAGCTCTTCTATAGTTACAGGCTGTACAGTGGTTCCTACTATTGCCTCCTGTGCTATGTCAATATCCGATTTGTCTTTGACCCTATTATTGTTGCTGGTTTTGCTGCTATTGCCCGGGTGGTATAGTTGTTCCTTAACTGATTTTTACTATACACCAATATCTGGTTTGTCGTTGTGCCATTAACAATACTGCTATTTATTTCCAGAGAACCGGGTGCTGAGCCAGTTACACTGTAGTTAACAGTGGTGGTCAGATCTTGGACCAGAAGCAAAGGCCTACAGTTAGCCGCACCAACAGCGCGTCACTGGAAAGCAGACACTAACCAAAGAGATCTGCACACTGGCAACACACTTGTCCACTATTAGTGACCTCAACCAACAGAAAGCAACAATAGAAACATGATAAAATGACAAAATGCCTCCCCAAACCCCCAACTCCTCCATTAGTCCATGGGACACTCACTGATAGGGAGGAAATCAAAATCCAAACAGCTGAATCATATGAAATAAGAGGAGACCAAAGACAGATCAATAAGGTACTCAACAAGCTCCAAGATGATACAACTAGGGGCTGGGGATTTAGTTCAGCAGCACAACACCTGCCTGGTAAGCACGAGGTCATGAGTTAGATTCCTGGTACAAAAAAAAAAAAAAAAAAAAAAACAAGATGATACAACTAAACAGATAATGGACTGAATAACAAAGTGATCGGTGAGCTCACAGAAGACACTAATAAAAAGATAGCCAAGCTAAATAAAATTATACAAAACATGAATGACCAATTAACCAAAGAATCAGAGTCCATGAAAAGGTTCCAAATAGAACTGCAGGAGATTATGGGCAGCAGAAGTAAGCAACACGAGGACAGAGTCAGAACTGGAAGATACGGCTGATGCTGACGACCACATACCAGGGATACCTTAAGAACAACCACAGAATATGGAAATGGATCCAAAAAAGTGGCTACAGGATACAAAGAACACTAATCTAAGGTTAACTGGAATTAATGAAAAAAATCAGAAGATAGCACAAATTGCATTTAAAAAAGCTGTTTGCAGAAACAGCGGAAAACTTTCCAAGTATGGGGAAAGAATTTAACACACTCATAAGCAAAACTGTATCCACAGCAACCAGTCAAGAGAAAGACATAAAAAGAATATATATAAGAAAGATATATACAAAAGGAAGATGTTCTTATTCACAGATGACATGATCCTCTACATAGAAGACATAAAAAATCCCACCAAAAGACACCTAGAACTAATAAATTCAGCAAGGCAGCAGGATACAAAATCAACACAAACAACCAGTAGCATTCCTACATACAAATAATGAACAAAATTTAAAAAGCAATACCATTCACAACAGCATTAGAAAAGTTAAATTCTTAGAAATTAACCTAACAAAGGAAGTGAAAGAACTCTGTAATAAAAACTACAGTGCTGTGAAGAAGGAGAATGAGGAAGACATTAGAAAACGGAAAGACGCCCCCTGTACCTGGGGAGGCAGAACTGTCAAAATGGCCTTCCTTCCAAAACTGATACACAGCTTTAATGCGATCCCAAGCAACACTCCAACAGCATTCCTCACAGAGCTAGAAAAAAAAACCTAACATTTATATGGCACCCGAAGTGACCCAGAACAGCAGAAGCAATCCTGGGCAATAACGGCAAAGCGGGAGGCTTCACAATCCCAAATTTCAAGTTGTGTTACAAAGCTACGGCAATAAAAACAAAGGCGCTAGCACGAAAACAGCAGCGCAACTCACAGCAGCCAAACCCTGGAAGCGGCCCTTGCGTCCACCAGCAGAAGAGTGAAGAAAATATCGCCTTTATACACAACGGGCTAGGACTCTGATACAAAGAAGAGTAAATATGAGCTATCTGTAGGAAAATAGATGCACCTGACCATATTATTGAGGAAATACACCAGACACACAAGTTTAAAGATCACATGATTTCTCTTATGTAAGAGACCCAAAATGCAGAATAAATAAAGAGCAAAATAAAGGATAACAGGATACAGGGAGATAGATTTTTTTTTTTGCAAATGTGAAGGAGACCAAGAGTCGGAGAGAAGGGAGGACGCCGGGACATGAAGGGAACTAAGACGTGCCGTGTGTGTGTTCCACCTCCCTACGATAAGCACAATCAGTATGTGCCACAAACATGTACTAATAAAAATAACAACTTTCAAAATCTGAACCATTTGAAATCCTGAACTTAAGAGTAGCCACTTATTATCCATTTACTTGTATAGTTAACAGCATAGATGCTAGAGTCAGGATGTCTTAGTTCATTTTTTTTTACATTTTTTGAGACAGGGTCTCGCTCTGCAGTTCAGGCTGGCCTTGAGCTCACTTTGTAGCCCAGGCTGGTCTCGAACTCACAGCGATCCTCCTGCCTCAGCCTCCCAAGCCTGGGATTACAGGTGTGCACCACCACGCCCAGCCAGGATGTCTTAGTTCAAAACCAATCCATTCTACCTTCTAACACAGTGACTTCAGGCAACTCACTGCACTTCTCTGAGTCTCAGTTCTCGCGTCTGAAGAATGAAGATGATAACAGTACATACCTCACTGGATGACGATGAAAAATAAATGAGCTGATAATGTACATGAAATACTGTGGACAGTACCTCTGCACTGCAAGAACTCAGTGAGTACTGGATCTGACTTACACGTACAGCACTTCAGCACCGTGATGTCCCTGGGATTACCGTAACAGTAAGTTCTGACCCTACAGATAACCAATAGATAGGAATAAAACCAGCTCCATCTCTTTTTCCTACCTCACAGTCATCAACTAACACACAGGTGACTATCGCTGATCTGCCACGCAGTGGAATGTTTTACTATTTTAATCCCATAAACTAGGTACTCAATAAACAGAAGAAATAGCAAAGCTCAAAAAGCTGACAATGTGTAGAACAGTTTTGCAATGTGTAATTACAGAAGGAGGTAGATATAAAGGAAATGAAGAGATAAATGAATAGTCCCACACAGATGGATGTATTGGCCTACCCAAAACACAATATACAATAAGGCAAAGGAGATAGCTTTATGATGTTTAAGAATTATACACAACAATGATTTTTTGAATCCCAAACTGATATTTGGTGGTTCTTTCTTTGCAAAAATAAAAATTCGGAAGTCTCCCAGGAAATAAGTAATTATAAATAAAAAGGCTAGGTAGAAAGTTTTTGAAATAAACACTGTCAGCGGCGCATTCGTTTTCTGACTTGTCGCCCATGGGTATTTATTCCAGTCACTAGGAAAGAAATATTGAAAACTGTCTGCTTCTCAAGTGACAGATCATCCTGCTGTATCTTCCATTACCCCCAGTACACAAAGGCGTAACACACTAGGCAGAGTGGGAATGCCCCCTCGTTTTCAGCCCTGCCCCTAGCAGAGGAGCTAAGTAAAATCTGTTTTGCAGAACCAGATTTCAACATAGAAGTCATTCGTCATGCACGGAAAGGAGCCCGGATGCTCTACTCATAGCTGTGCACCAACCTCTTCATCCGGGTTACCTTGACTTTATCACAGCTCTGAAAGGCCACACAAAATAAGTACTAACGACCCATAAATAATACAAATCGTGACACGAATCAACAAATCCACCTGCTCCTCTGGATCCTCCCGTTTCTCCTCCACCTGGATACCCTCCTTCTCCCACGAGTGTCCAGAGAGAGGCCGACAAGGACGCAGTCAGCCGGGATCGCACAGCAAGGAGGAAAGCGAGAGCCCACGGGCCCACAGAAGTCTGTCCTTCCCAGATCCCCTCTGCGCCGGAACAAAGAGCCGGCCGAGACTTCGGGAGCGTAAATCAGTGCAACGAAGTTCACGACTTGCTCTTCTGCTCACACGCAGGTACCAAGGCTTTTCACTCTGAGCACAAAAATTGCTTAAGGCTTTCGATCCCACAGAACACAACAGACGTGGGAAATCACTTACTCTCCCAGTTTTGCCCAGATGGCCAGAGACACCCGCAGGATGATTTCCGAACCTTCGAAGAAGACGGAGTCCCAGATCTTTAACACCGTGTGATTCGGGAGGCAGGTCGCAAAGAGAGTCAGAAACCACTGCATGGTGAAGACGTTGGTCAGCGGGGGTTCATATCCGCCTGCAACGAAACAAGGCACTGAGTTCCGGCGGATCGGAGCACCCTCCGGACATGCAAGTACCCTCTCCTCTGTCAGTCTCCCATCCACCAAAAATGCTATATTTTACTGATTGCTTTCTCCTTCTAATTCCTGGTTCTTTCCTCTTTTTGCTTCCATATTTTTGGAAGAACATACGTGTTTTCAATAATATCTCAGTAACATGAGAGTCACAATTCCTTTATAAAAACTCAGAAATCTTAACCCAAAACTTATTCTGGCTCTACCTATTACAGGGTACTGAAAACTAAGAAGGAAGTTTTCCTCACCAAAAACAGAATAAAAAATGTTTTTAGCCCTGCAAAAGCCATCAGCTTTTCAAAGTCTTTAAGCCTACTTTTATTCAAATGTGGCTAAGAATAAAACTGTTCATTATAAATTGTCTATTCCTTAAATTATATACATAATTATTGCACCACAATGGACTTAAACTGGAAATCACTAACAGAAAGTTAGCTGGGAAGTTCCAAAATATTTAAGATATAAAACAATATTAAATATAAAACATTTTGAACTGTATTATACACAGTTTTGAAGAAAGATTTGTGGCCCACTTCATTTTGAAATCTCCGAATTCATTAGAGGCACAACACCCCCTCCTGCTTCCTGTGGTAAGTGTGCATTTTAATGAAATAAAAATTTAGCTTTTTAGATTAATCATCCCTCTCGGTTATAATCAGTATGGACAATTACTGAAGTGTAAGCAAAAGAGATCTGTTTTCCTGAGCTCATTTTCTTTGTCCTCACCTGTGAACAAACATTAGCTCAGAGACTAAACTCTGAGGTTATTCTCCACAGCCAAATACAAGGCATCTGGGGGAAATGTGTAACTCGGGAAAGTGTGTCTGACTACGGCACAGGGAAGTCTGGCCCACCTGCTAGCACTGTGAAATCCATGCAGCGACGCGGTTATACTGCACACCAAATTAAAAGATATTTACGTGGCTTCAGAGAAATGTTAGGACACCCACCTGCTTAAAATTTCTGCTGTATTTTAATCAAAGATTAGATCCTCAAAACCTTCTACTATGTCCCTAGATTTAAATGTGTGGGTCAGACAAGACTATGAGTGCATGGTCTACAACAGGAATTGGCACCATGTACAGGAAATCCAGCAAACTTCTGACCTTTTTTTTAAGCCAGAGCACAACCACAGAATAGCATGCAGTGGGTGCATTTACTTAACCTAGTTACTCTCAGAGCTACTCTTCTATAACCTTGCAGTTCTGGTAAAGCCACAGTATAAAATTCTACCTGAAATTCTGCTATAAAGACTTCTTGTACTCTGCCAACTTAGAGCAGCTTAGCTAGATGCTTAGACACGTAATCCACTCTTGTTCTAGAGAATAACATATCCTGTTAGTTGCTGATCTGGTACCAATAGAGTGACCAGTTTCCTACCCTTAACCCAGTCAGAGGTTCAGCGTGTAGCCTTATGTATTTTCAGTTTTGTTTTTGTGCTCTAGAAACCTATTCATTGCACCAAATTCTTACAACAGAAATACCCAGAAACGTGTATTTCCATTCAAGGTTAAGCTTATAGAGTGGAATCACACAAGCCAAATATTTTCAAAGATACAATAGCAATGAGTCATCTCCACCTCCACTTTCTTTGTTTGCAGTTCTCTGAAGAGTATCCAGGTGCTGAGATAACTCAGGGAGCTTCATTCTCAAGAGATCTCTGAAGACAGCCATATCCACAGATAATGCTCGGAGATTATTGACAAAATAGCTTTCAGGAAGGACCTTATCAATCAGGTAAATCATAATCTGAAGACAAAGATAAAGAACAAGACTGCTTCAAACAACTGGGATGCCAACCTGTCCTAAAGAACAAGATTGTATTCAAACAGATAAAACACAGTTGGCCAAAACAGTATCCTTTAATACTCTGTCGGTAAATGTTTTGGATTTTTCAAAGCTTACCTACACCATGTGTAAGGAACAGGTGGCATAATTAGCTAAGTAACTCAGACCTAAAGTCTGCTGCTATTTAAAATCTTTACACGGGTTTCCAGACCCAAGGTCACCCCATTAGTAGCTCTGATCAGACAACCCTCAGCCTCACGGAAGCAAGCAGCCAGCCAGGGCTTGAGAGCTGGCTCCTGGGTGTCAACGGTTTTACAACCTCCATGAGCTGGCCTGTCATAAAACACCCACACTGAGGCAGGCCTTGACGTCTACTTCCCAACACCCTGGGTTATTAGCGCAACGGGTGGCGGCCCCCTGTCCATTTCCTCTCCTGGGAGAAGGCAACTAGGCTTTGTTTGAACTAACAGTGTTTTTTAAAATCTGCATTTCTTTCATAAGGTTGTCACATAAATTCTTCAAGTTAGTATTTTCACTCTGACTTTTCTCCTTGTACTACCTTTTCTGAAATATAAAGAACCACCAGAACGGTCTAGCAAAACACACGCCAGCTCTGTACCTCTATCCTTGGTCTTTTCCTTGTTGGCCAGCATGCTCTATATGTGTCCATCTAACTCTCAAGAGGATCAGAAAAACAAACTTAAGAGCAAAGTCATAGGCTGGGACCTTAGCTCAATGGTAGAGCACTTGCCTAGCATGCATGAAGCCCTGGGTTGACTCCTCAATAACTCAAAGGAAAAAGAAAATCACAGCAGGCTCTATATATTGGTGGACAAGTAGCTGTCTCACACTTGCTTATTCTCAGGATACCACAATATTCTATTTTAAAAAAAAAATTATCTCCTAACCCTGCCAAGGACCTATTTTCCCCTCACTCAGGATCTCATAATTTCTACTCTTAGGATCCGAGTTTTGCAGACCCTTGAGAAGGCCCTTCTGAGGCCTTTGCTCCAGAAGTGAGCAGGCCTTAGCCTTTTGTTAGGATGGGCTGCACTGGCCCTTGTGTCATCATGCCCTGGAAAAGAGGAGTTCAGCAACAGCAGAGGAGGACAGTCAGCCTACGCGGAGGGAAAAGGTCCCGGGGGGACATAGTACATTCTCAGTAGAGCGCCCTGGTGGGAAGTTGGTGCTCCACAGATCAGGAGAAAGGGGATTACGGGATCACGAAGGAAAACTTCAAGGTAACGGTCTGTGGATTACTGCCCTTTTCACCTAAGGAGAAGTTATACAGTACCACGAAAAATACTTAACTTTTTATGAAGAAATTATGAGCCTCTCAGAACTACAGGAAAACAAGAAAAATATTTCTTCAATTAGCCTAGTGATCCTTATGACACAATAACTTCTCAGTCTAACGTCAGCCCAAAGTCTAGCGTTGACACAAGAGCCAGCTTGTTCACTGCACCCACTACTGAATTCCAAAGGCAAAATCTTATGTCTTAAAAATAGTAAGAATACGTAATGGGAGAGCGTCAAATGTTTAACAAGCGATTAGAAACAAAATAGTTACTAAGGAAAAGCAGTTAATGCCAAGAAGCAGCAACACAGACACCCAATAACCTCCTCAGCACCAGAAGCCTCCTTTGCACATGTGTCTGACCACAAGGTCTATGCATTCCCAGACGGTGATGATGAACAGCAGCTCAGTGTACGGCGCTTTCTTCTTGGAGGCAGAAATAAAGAACATTCAGTTTCCCAGCTTTATCTAACCCATCTTTCGGTGTGAATTTTTGGCTTCTCAAGTGTCACTGGGTCCTTTCATGATCTGACTGGCACATACACCCCCTTCCCCAACTTCCCCATCCTACCTCCTAATCCGAACCATTCAGTTCAGCTTTTCAACAGAACAGTTTCTATTTTAAAGTCATAAAAATGACACGTAGGGGGGAGAAAAAGACTAAGGCTAATAGACTGAATAAACAAAGTTGCTTAATTTAAAATGTTTTAAAGTCATGTATTTGATTCATCACTGCCTCATCACTGGTGAACAAATGGCTTCGAAGCTGTTTCCTTAAATACACAAATGGGAAAAGTGAGAGGGCGAATACCAATTTAAATCATGTCAAATTGGACTTATTTTTAAATCTATCATGATGTGTATAAAATCAGGAGTAATATTTATTTTTCCATATCCCATTAGTCAGTGGTTGAGAATATCACTGAAGTATTCACTACATTCACAGCTGGGTCACAAAGACCAAATGTTCATCCCATGCATCACACATGTTATAAATAACACCAGTTTAAAGGTTCAGGCATGAATTGTGACCCACAGTGCCCTAAGCAAATAAGACCGTCTTGCATTGGGAAGGCTTTATTGCTCGTGAAGATTATTTCTGGCGCCTCACCAACTCTCCTTCAGACCTAGGAGCTTACATTGCTAGTGCTCCCTCTTAAAGTGGCTCCAGAGCGGTTCAAAGAGCTGAGGCATCAAATATTAAAAAATAATGACACAAGTCACCTCCATAACTTTTCCCCACGCAAGCATCTTCCAGACACCCTCAGACCTGCTCCTCCCCACCTCTCCCCAAATATGAATGAGTAAAGCAGCCAAATAGGATGGTTCCTGCTGAACGGAACATAACTAGCACAAGAGGCAGGTTCTCCAATGGCCCTCAGGGACCCCTACCTCCCGGGGGTCACACCCTTGTACACCCTTGTACCCTCTAAGCATAAACTGTACCTTGTACCTTTGAGCATAAACTGCTCACACCTTGTACACCCTTGTACACTTTGAGCATAAACTGGATCTGGTGATCACTTCCAATTAATAGAACATTAAAAAAATCACGGCTGTCGCTTCTGATATTTGGCTACAAATCTGCAACAAGCTCTTCTGTTCCCTCTACCCACTTGTTCCCTCTACCTCCCTCGCTCACTCTGAGAGAGTCTAGCCACCGGGCTGTGAGGTGCACCAGGGGCTTATGTGGCACGGATCTAAAAGAGGCCTCCAGCCAAAAGACTCTCAGTTCAATAGCCTGGGAGGAATTAAGTCTTGTCAGTAACCAAAGGAAAAAACTTGGCCAATGGGCCCCTCCCAATCGAGGGTTTGGATGAGACCACAACTGATATTTTAAACACAAGTATTTTGAATGCCACCACGAGGTGACCTTGAGCAGGCTAAGCTGCACCCCGACATCTGGCTCAGACACTCCGAGGCAATATACTCTTGGTGTTGTAAGCAGCTAAGTCGTGAATCCAAAAATGGGTGATGATACAGTTCATATTTAATTTGTTTTAAAAAGCAACTTGACTTATAAGTGAGACTAAAAACACATAACCATTCTCCTCACAGCTGGCAGCCACATGAGTCCGTCATTTGACTCGGCCTTAGCTGGCAGAGGTACTATCACAGGTGGTCACAAAGGCATGGAGAACACCTTGGGGAGGGCAGAGGCGGGGAGAGGAGAGAGCTTCGCTCTGGAAGACGCTCGGTCCCCGCCGTCAGAGCCTGCTACTCACCTTCAGGGCGTCCCCTTCATTGCCCTCCATCACTTCCAGGATGAGCGCAGCCAGGATGTTAAAGCCTTGGCAGTACCCGACATTCTTGTTCCACCGAGCATAGGCCAGCAGCACCCGCTTCAGCACCACCCTGTCCTGCTCAGCCTCCTGACCGCAGTAGGAGCTACAGCCTGTCCGATGGAGGTCCTACAAAGGAAGGGAAGCCATTTTCTGAAATAACCCTTAGTACACGCTCCAGAAAAGTAATACCTCCTGTTATTTGTCTACTCATTTAATACAATTAAATTATCGACATGACTTTTAGTAACTTTTTTTTTAATTTTTCAGGGGATTGAATGTGCTACATAGGGCCTTAAGCATGCTACATCCCCAGCCTGGATTTTAGCTTTTAAATTGTACATGTAGTGGCCGGTGATATAGCTCAGCGGCTTAAGCACTTGCCTGGCAAGGCTGAGGTCATGAGTTCGGTTCCTGGTACCAAAAAAAAAAACAAAACTGTACATGTAAGTTATACACATGGGCCAAACATTTTTTAATCTTTTAATGTTCTTTGTCCTCATGTTCTTAAGATGCTGAAAGAGATTTGCAAGAGGTTCATTCAGGCTAACTTTCTACTTAGAGTATTTCCAGAACTAACATAAAAAGTGACTCAATTAACAAAAATTACATAATTCATATAAAATGATAGTATATATGCATCAGTCATATATGTACACAAGTCATTTCAACATGGATAGAACATGTATTAATATCATTCTTTTCTACAAAATATGTATATATACATTTGTTTGTTTGAGACAGGGTCTTGCTATGTAGCCCAGGCTGGCCTCAAACTTGCAGCAATCCTCGTGCCTCAGTCTCCTAAGTGCTGGGGTTATAAGCCTGCACCACCAATGCCTGGCTTCAAAAATATGGTATATTTAGCTATTAAAACTCGAAATAACATTAAGGAGTAAAGTAAAAATAGAAAAAATGTATCTATACTACAGACAAAAAAAACACTCCACCCAAATTGTTTTATAAATTTATGCAAGAACAGAAACATTTGCTGTGTTTTAATATGTATGAGGGCAATATCTATAACTTAGTTACTGTGCAGAGTCTATGATTTTCAGGAGCTGAAGTCATTTTACTGACACAGCATTCACCCCGATGAGCAAATAGAGATCTTCTTACAAACATGATTATAAAATGTTCAGTGCTTTAATTCACAAGTTAAGCAGAAAATATTTCAGATATAAAATGCTTGTCTCTGTAAAACCAGTTCTAAAATTCCAAATGAACAACTGAAATGTGGATAATGCAAAGGTTTTCAGAATGCCATGTGAAATGTTGCACTTTTTTTAGCACTTGACAGAAACAGACCAAGTTAGACTGGAAAGTAGCTCATTTTAGTACTTCCTCCTTTAGAAAGTATATTCAAATATGCAAAACATTAGCCATCTTGTGGCAGCCAAAATTTAGATGAAACACCCTTCCTTTTAAAATCCGAGCTTAGCATCACACTATAATCCACTCATGAAATAAAAAACCCTGTGCTAAAGCCTTATGCAAGAGGATTAGTCTGGAATCAAATGAAATCTGCATCTTGGCCTTTCCCACCAGACTCCAAGTAAATGTGATATTCCAGGTAGGCAAAGCACAGCTGCTTCCACAGCTGACTAGAGCTCTCAACTGCCTGGTTTAAAGTAGATCCATCAGTCAACCTAACTACATAAATTAACAGTGAAAAAGTTATCAGACACCCCATAACAGCCAAATGATATTTCACTTCTCAATGACTGACTGCAGTGAAAATACAGTTGACAGCACCAACCCAAGCTATGTAGAAAAAAGGGAGGGGTCAATCTTCTATGGTGTGAGGAAGATAAATAAACTGAATATAAATGGAACAATTTTCTTCTTACTGGCAACAATTAACATTATGAAGACGAGTAACAGTCAAGGTTTTCCATTTTAAAAAGCTCTGTACTAATGAAACTAAGCAACAGAAACACGTAGGCATTCAGACCATAACATAGAGATCATTTGACCCTCTGTCTTGGGATCATTTGGCTCTGAAGCGGTAGAGGTGCTGCTGGTCAGCACAAGAGACCGAGGTCAGGGGCGTTACCTTAACTATCTGAATCCCCATGGAGTCATCATCAGGGTTACTCCTTTCATTGAAAGTGAAGCGCATGGTTTTGTCCCAGTCGATGGCGATACTGTGCAAATAATGATCCGCCAAAGTCAACCAGACCTGAAACATTGCATCAAGATGATTTCTAAAGTAGAACGTGTAGTCTCACTTTCATTAGAAAATAGTCACTGCATCCAACAAAGAAATGAGAACTGTTCCTAGACCAGGTACAGCTTACACATAGAGATCTACAAGAGCCTCCTCAAAATTTTTACTGGACTAAATTGTACCCTTAGGGCTCTTCATCAATTCTTTCACAAATATTTGTTGAGTTCATACTATGTGCCAAGCAACAACCCCAACATTACGAACGTTATCGAGAACAAACATTTTTTTCAGATTTTATTTTCAACTCATTGAAATTTTATTTGTGTTTTGTTCTTTTTTAACTTGTGCCCAGAATCAATTGCTTTCTGTGTCTGGGCAAAAGCCACTTGATCACTCATAAGGAATGGGCCTTTCTTCACCACGGAGGCCCCTGCTATTAAATGATCCCTCCCCTACACACATAAAACTGGCAGACGGACTCCCACAATGAATAACTTTTTTTAAAAAAAAAGTCACTGGATATTTTTGCCATTTATCTTACCCAGAAAATCCGTTTGTGAAAAATGTATTTCATGATGCCTTTTTTATTTTTAGGATCCCTCCATATTTGAATTGCACGAGTACTAAAACTACACTTACAAATTAATATCCTAAGAAGAGATTTCAAGTTTTGGTACTTCAACATGTCTTGTCAGAAACAGCATTGATGTATCATCTATCTCTCCAACCAAGCATCATATCTCCAACTAAGCATCAGAATCAGATTTCCAGATGCTCACTGAACACCTTCAATTTAGATATCTAATAGGTATCTCAAGTTTAGCCACCATGTAAGTCACCACCACCCCAACTACACATATATCTATATCCAAACACACATCTGCTCCTCTTGACCCTCTGAACAGTAACTCGACCTTTCCAGTCTCTCAGGCCAAAATTTTAATGTTATCCTTCACATCCTTCTTATATCTTATATTCAGTCCAATAGAAAGTCATGTCAGCTCTACTTTCCAAATATATCTAGAACCAAATTCAGTAGTGTAGCTGGATACAAAGTCAAAAATCAGTATCTTTCCTGTACACAAACAACAAACTTACTGATTGAGAAATTAGGGAAACCACACCCTTCACAATAGCATCTAAAAAAATGAAGTACTTAGGAATCAATCTAACAAATGAAGTAAAGGATCTATATATCAAAAATTACAGTACTTTGAAAAAGGAGATTGAAGAGGATATCAGAAAAGGAAAAATATGCCGTGCTCATGGATAAGAAGAACAAGCATTGTGAAAATGGCCATACTCCCAAAACTGTTACACAGATTTAATGCAATTCCCAATCAGAATACCATCAGCATACCTCACAGAACTGGAGAAAACATTCCTAAAATTCATCTGGAACCCAAAGAGACGTAGAATAGCAAAGGCAGTCCTGGGCAACAAAGGCAAGGCAGGAGGCATCACAATCCCTGATTTCAAATTATACTACAAAGCTACTGTGATAAAATCTGCATGGTACAGGCAAAAACACAGAACTGATTTAGAACACAGAGAGCAATTGATTCCAGGCACATGCCGGGCTACTGAGCTGTACCATCAGCTTGACAGAGAGTAATTCAAAGCCAAGTTAAAAAAAAAAAACAGTGGACACAGGCACAACTCCAAACACACTCAGCCACCTTATTTTTGACAGAAGAGCCAAACATGTTCACTGGAAGAAAGATAGCCTCTTTAATAGATAGTGCTGGAAAAACTGGCTTCCCACATGCCAAAGACTAAAACTAGACCCATGTCTATCACCATGCACTAAAGTCAAATGGATCAAAGATCTAAATATTAAAACAGAAACACTACATCTCAAACTAAGACCAAAACTAGACCCAAGTCTTTCACCATGCACAAAATCTGAAGTCAAAATGGATCAAAGATCTAAATATTAAAACACAAACACAATCTGGAAGAGAAAGCAGGTAGAAACCTTGAAGACATACGAATAGATAGAGATTTCATGAACAAAACCCAGACTTCGCAGGAAATACTTCAAAGAATCAACAACTGGGATCTCATCTTATTAAAAACTTTTTGCACAGCAAAAGAAATCACCAACAAAATGAAAAGACAAACCAAAGAGAGGGAAAAGTTTTTAGGCAATTGTCTCTCAGACGAAGGATTTCTACCTAGAACATATAAAGAACTGAAAAAAATTAGGCCCCCCAAATTCAAAGACCTAATCCAAAATCGGGCTTTTCCCTGTTGGTCACCGTGCTCCGCCCCTTCCCCACCATCATCACCAACTGCTTCAGCTTCCGCATCCCTGCAATTTCCCACCCGAATGCACGTGCACTGGCTGCTCCCCGCCTGGCCCGCCTTCTCCCCGCCAGCAGCATGGCTGACTTCTCTCCTTAGTCGCAGCTCTACTCACATGCTCCTTTGCTGTTTAAAATTCCACCTCCTTACCCATTCTTTCACACTCGCCTTAGTTCTCTCTCTGTTTTATTTTTATCGGTAGCATTTACCACCATCTGACACACTTTATGTTTTATTCATTGTAAGCGCTGTGAGGACAAAAACTTTTGTCTGCTGTTTTTATTTCCACTGTTGCATCCCTAGCACCGAAAACAGCACCTGGCACAGAATGAATGGATCAATATATGCTTACTGCATGAGTGATGAAGAGACGAAGTCAAATTACTGGGCCTAGAATACACTTCGACATTCCAGACACTTTCAAGAAGGACACATGCAATCCTTCTGTACTGCAGTCCCGTGCACCCCGCTTACCTTGACGAAGTCAAATTACTGGGCCTAGAATACACTTCGACATTCCAGACACTTTCAAGAAGGACACACGCAATCCTTCTGTACTGCAGTCCCATGCACCCTGCTTACCTTTCTTCTCCATTCCTTTGGTATCCCTGTGGATAGTCTGGCAACGGCTTTGAGTGCATCATACCACTGGGAACAAAGGCAATAACAGAGAACATTAACCCGGAGAGACACTTTTCAAACTGTTCTCTATCTTGACATCCACAGAATATGATAAAATTAGTACAGCACACTAGGATAAATAATGAAAGCTTCTTTCAGCCAGGAGTTATCAGTCTAGGGGCTGTGACTGGCCACAAACTCCACCCCTTAAGGACCCTAAAAACATCTGTGACAACACACATACATTGGTTTGGAAGCTCTGGCTCAAAACCCTAAACATGCATAATAAAAAGTTCAGAATAACAGAATGACAGTTGGTTATTTAAATGTTTTCACCTTTCTACAGTTTATGGAAAGTACAAAATTTTTCATAGCAAGTATAAATCCAGGTTACTTGCAGTTTCAAAAGTTTTTTATCTGAAACTAAGCAAAAAAAAAAAAAAATAGCATCTTCTTATGCAAATCAAAGCAAATGCTAATGGCAAGGGATATAGCTCAGCAGCACAGCACCTGCCTGGCAAGTGCAGGGTCATGAGTTTGATTCCCAGTACCAAAAAAAAAAAAAAGTAAATGCTAATGTTCTCATTTTAAAAATACATCTCAGGGGCTGGGATATAGCTCAGTGGCACAACCACCTGTCTGGCAAGTGGAAGGTCCTGAGTTCAATTCCCGGTACCAAAAAAAATACCTCTCAGCATACCATGCTTATTGCCTAGAATGAGTGTATTCAAAGCCAAAAATTAAGTTACCTGCTGAAAACCATTTTGACCTAGAGATGGCTCAAGAGTGAACTTCAATTTCGTATCAACCCCTAAAAGAAAATGCGTAAGTAGTTACTTATTTATTTATTTATGGAAACTATAACAAGTTACAAGTTAAAAATAAAAGCTTCAGTCTACTTAACTGTCATGTAAAATTTAGTAAAAATTTAGTGAAGATGACAATAAGAATTTAGTAAAAGTACATATTTTTACTAAATTTTAATCTGTTGTATTAAATGGAAAGTATCTTTTTTTTAAAAGTATCTTGACTATTAAAATAGAAAACACCCTGCATTAACAGAGTGGAGCTATTCACATAGGATGAGCTTCCACAGCCACAGAGACCTTCATCCGCTTCCTAGACACCAAAACACTCACCTGCCTCAGCCTCAACCCTTTTATCTTTAAAATGAGGATAACAATGTCCATCAGAGGACTGGTATGGTGACTAACTGTAAATCTCCTAGCATGGTGTAGTTAACATTTAAGAAACGTACAAACAGAATTCTTAGCAGAGTTTGTTTTCCTAGGATATGTGCATGGACTAAGACTACCAAGGAAATGTCAGCGGAGTATGAAAAGCCACAAAACGGGATCGTGGGGCCACGGGTGTTGTTCAAGCTACAGCGCTTGTCTAGTATGCAGAAGGCCCTGGGTTTGAAACCTGCACAACCAAGGCAAGAAGGAAAGAGCGAAGAGGAGGAGGGAGGGGGAAGAGAGAGAGAGAAAGGAAGCTGGAGATAACTGCCTTTCCTCTTACAATGGAATGATCCATTAGAACAATTCCATTTGGATGTTTTCCTATATTTTTTAAGTTCTGTCTTGATGCACTTGAAGACAAAACCGTGTGTGTCTGTTAAATTATAAACTATAAGGTAAACACACAACCGTATTCCAATCCCAAGTAGTGTACAATTTTAGATAAACTTTTTTTAACTAGAATCCCAAATCGATGCAGTAGAAGTAAATAAACAGTAAAGTGTATGAACACTTCAATACTTATATTAAGGCCTTTATTCAGAATTCCATAGAATTATGTTCTCTTACTGAAGTGAAAGGATGACAATTCTTATCCCTCCTTAAATCCTCTAAAAGTCATAATCAAATCTGAGAGGGCTGTGTATTATTCTTCTTCAATTTCCAAATCAATCATTTTAAGTTACTTTTAAAAGACTTACTGATTTAAGGTTCCATCACTGTCAACAACATTCAATTCTACAAACTGAAAAATCAAAGGATGATATTTTTGCCCCAAGATGTTGCAAGCAGGTTGGATATATCGAAGACTTCCCCACAATTCCTAATGTTTAGGGACACTCTACAGCATTTATGTAGCAGTAATATGTAATTATCACTACATTACTTTTCATTACTATTACAGAGTAGATTGGTCTTTTCAAAGATGTACATATGGAGTTAAGAAGATAAAAGACGGAGGGGCTGGGGATTTAGCTCAGCGGCAAAGCGCTTGCCTGGCAAGCGCAAGGTC